ACCGACATCATACAATTCACTTCGTCAACAATATCTTGCCTAGATCATTCCTTCATTTTAATCTTTAATCAGTTGTGTCTAGTTATCTACTGCAAGGACTTACGTCTTTGACTATGCTCCGCTTTCCTTTTTTTCATTTGCTTCTTTATTTTAAGGGCCTCAGCGCTCTTCTGTTTTTCCCTCACGATCAGTACTGTTAGAGAGAGCCTTTGCAGCAGCCGCTCCCCTAAGAATCCCTGAAAAAACGGTAGCGGCCCACTTTGACATTACAAATATGGGTGTATTTATACATGCATTATTCCTAGCATGCACCCATAAATAATATAGTGTATGTGTACTAAATTCATTCCTTATCACACTTCTCTCTCTCTCTTTCTCTCCTTCAACAGAAGCGAACACTTTACGCCCCACAGTCTTACCATGGCTGCTACTGTTGCAGTTTACGGCATTAATGATCCTCTCTCTACCGCCAGGAATCCTCGCCAGTCTCAATCTCGCGTATTTCCTCCTTTACCATGTCGTCCACGAGCTCCTCGAAGGTGCACTTGGCCTTCCATCCGAGATCACGCTCTGCCTTGGCGGGGTTGCCGAGCAGCGTCTCCACCTCAGCCGGGCGGAAGTACCGCGGGTCAACGCGGATGAGCGGCACACGATTGGGGTCCGCCTTGTTGTATGCGATCTCGTCAAGGCCGCTGCCGGTCCACTCCAGTTCGTAGCCCAGCCTGCCGAATGTCACGTTGCAGAACTCCTTCACGCTGTGCTGCTCGCCTGTTGCTAACACCCAGTCGTCCGGCTGCTCCGCCTGCAGCATCAACCACATGCCATACACGTAGTCCCTTGCGTGTCCCCAATCACGCAGGGCGTTCACATTACCGAGCAGCAATTCCTTCTGCAGACCCTTCTTAATGCGCACAGCCGCACGCACAATCTTCTTCGTCACAAATGTTGCGCCACGTCGGGGGGACTCGTGGTTGAACAGAATACCATTGCACGCGAACATACCGTACGACTCACGGTAGTTCACTGTAATCCAGAAGGCGTAGAGTTTCGCCACGGCGTATGGGCTGCGTGGATAGAAGGGTGTCTTCTCTGACTGCGGCACCTCCTGCACCTTTCCGTACAACTCGCTTGTGCTTGCCTGGTAGAAGCGACACGTCTTCTCCAAGCCATTCGCACGGATGGCGTCAAGGATCTTCAGAGCACCAATGGCGTCTGTCTGCCCCGTGTACTCGGGTGTGTCGAAGGAGACCTTCACGTGTGATTGGGCGGCGAGGTTGTACACCTCGTCTGGGCGCAGCTGTGCGATGAGGTGGTGCAACACCGTCCCGTCAGTCATATCGCCGTAGTGCAGCTTGAGGTGCTCGTTGCGATAAATATGGTCAATGCGCTTCGTGTTGAAGGAGGAGGAGCGGCGAATAACACCGTGCACATCGTAGCCCTTCTCCAGCAGAAGCTCAGCGAGATAGGAGCCGTCCTGGCCAGTGATACCGGTGATAATAGCAACGCGACGTTTGGCTTCAGACGCCATTGTTTTTCTCTTTTTTTTTTTTTTTTACCTTTTTTTTGTTTTCTTGTTGTTCAAGTGTATACCTTGAGTAGCTTGCTATCGAGCAGCAAAGAGAAAAGCAGTAAATATAAAATGAGGGCACAGAAAAGAAACAGGGAATATTCCCTCTCTTCTACACAGAATCCAGTACAGAAACAATGACAAAAAGAAAGAGAGAGAGAAGTATACACGAACGACCCCCCCCC